GATACCATACTATCGGATCTACAATGTTCTTGTCGATAACGCCCCTTGATTGATTTTTTTTATTTTTAATTGTTGTTGTCTAACATACAAAGGGCATTGTTTGCGTACACAGTCCGTGACCTGACCAGGCTCTACATATCTAGTGCATTGTTACTTAGCAACTCCTGATCGTTGCCCATTATGGCTACAAAAGCGTCGTCAATCCTGCACCCTCCCAATGAGACTGAGCATACCATGTCTCGCATCACCCAGGAGGGCAAAAAACTCACCTACAACCTGAAAGTCATCCAGCAGCCAGAGCGCGCCAGAGCATGTGGTGCTGGAGCAAAATGTGAGTTGTGGTCAAACATGCATGCAATGGTGAATCCAATGCTCACATTCTAAATCTCAGCCTCTGCGGACCGTCGGCCTGTTGACCCACCTCCTGTGGTCGAATTACGTGTGTTCGAAACAGATCTAAATGATCAGCACAAAACGGATGTCACCTTCAGCTACAACGCCAACTTTTTCTTGTTTGCAACTCTGGAGTGGGCGCGCCCAATTGCCCATGGCAGGATCCAGACTCAGACCCCCTCATGTCCTGTCCTGACAGGTGTGCCCGTTGCTGGCATTGCGTATCTGGATCGACCAACACAGGCAGGATATTTCATCTTTCCTGATCTTTCTGTCCGCCACGAGGGCTTGTACCGGTTAAACTTCAACTTGTATGAGGAAATGAAGGAGCCCAAGCATGTCGATAAAGGTGGACTAGTACCGCACTCGCAGAACCACATGGCACCGTTGACACCGTCGAAGCCCCGTTCACCACATCAGTTCCTCCATTTCCGCTTGGTTGTCAAGTCCGTTCCATTCACCGTTTACAGCGCGAAGAAGTTCCCAGGCTTGGCCGAGAGTACCTCGTTGAGCCGCATCGTAGCAGAACAAGGTTGTCGTGTCCGGATCCGCCGCGATGTTCGTATGCGTCGTCGCGAGCCCAAGCCCGGCAAGGACTACTACGACGACAGACGTATAACCCCGGATCCTTATCCCGGCACTCCGATCGAACGTCCACGCTCAGCGAGTAATGCGTCCATGGATGACCCTTACAGATACCCTACCGGACCACCACAGGTCCAACCGAGCCCGGACTACGGCTATCATCATCCATCCCATCAGCAACCCTCTCCCAATCTTGCTGCAACTCCACAGTCACATCTGTCCTTCGGCGCTGCTCCTCCACAATATCACGCCCCTCCACCACCACCGACTGCACATCCGGCTCCGCCACCTGCCTACACTTCGCCACATCTTGGATATACACATACCCGACAAATATCTGCAGGTCCGGAGTACGACCCTCACAGACAAAAGTATACTCAGTACCCTCCTCCCAGTCCTCACTCTGACATCTACGACCAATCGAAGTCCTCTTTGCCCATGAATCCATCAGTCGATCATCCCTCTTACCCGCCAATGCCCTATGAACAGCGCATGTCAGATCCAAAACTGTACGCTCCACCATCTCAGCTCCACCCGACCCAACAATATCAACAACCCACACCCCGCCCCACTCCAGCAGCAATAGCACCCCATCCTCCTCACCAGAGAACCCCCACAAAACCAAGTCCATCTACATTCTTCCCCCCAACTCCTTCCCGCCTCTCCGTCGAAGTCGACTCCTCCAATGAAGCCGACGACGCCATCATGAACGCCATCCGTACGCGCCGTGGTTATATCCTCGGCGAGAAGCCCGGTGCGACGAAACGCAGCCGCGATTCCTCGGACCACGACCTCAAGCCGCTCCGCAACGGCCAGCGGCCCGTCGTCTCCGGTGATGAAGCGGCGAAAGGTGAGATTGGCGAGACGTCTGGTGGCTCTGACGATGAGATCATGACGTATCGCCGGGCTGATGGGCGTTTGGTGGCGAAGCAGCGGGTGTCGGTGCATTCGAAGGGGAAGGAGGTCAATATTCCGCGCGATGTGGATTTGTTATCCAGGCGGCCGGAGGTGTGTGCTGTTGCTGAGTAGGAGGGTTGACATTGGATTTTTTGGTTTGAAAGGTTGGAAAGGGGGAAAGGGGGAAAGGGAGGTTTTCCTTCGGCTTCATGGGATACCAGCGCGCCGAAACAAGAAAAAAATGCAGGAAAACTTGGTTATATATGGGGAAGGGTGTTGTGAAATGTTGGGACCGGAATGCTCCCAAGCGCGCCCCCCTTTTTCAGGCACCCGGGGCACCTGCTTGCCTCCTACGAGCCGTCATTCATTGTTATCGGTGGTACAATTTGATTCTCCGGCTTCGGCTCCGCGCCCACCTTCAATGAACCGGTTTCTCAAACCCATTACTATATGTATCATCTCTGCCAAACCCACCGTTATCTCTCCCATCACGGCTTTTTTCGCTCGGTACTAGTATGTTTTATCGCTCTATGGAGCTGAGTTCCCAACAAAACAGATTGGTCGATCACTCAACCCTTTCCACCCACGAAATCAATCCCAGCTTGGCTCTGCGTATCTTTTGTCGCCTCTTTAACAAGTTCTTTTCATACCCCGAAACAACTATCAACTTCCTCCATTTTTCGGTCTACTATTTCCTTTTCTGTACCTACCATATACTCCCGACTTAACACCTCCTTCCTTTCCCCCTTCTTTTCGATGTATTTTCTTTCTTCCTTTCCCTCGTCTGTCTTAATTCTTCTTTCATTATCCCCCCCTTTTCTGTTATTCCTACTATCAGCGCTGTCGACCCTTTTTCTTTTGTTTCTTCCGCCTTACCTTAGTTTTTATCCCCACCACGCCCTTGCTCGTTCGTAGTGGACAATATTCTATCGCTGTTACACACGTCTATATTTATATCTACTAGCAGATGTACGCAATCCTAGGACCCCAAACATAACACGCACGACACATAATGACTAGCAGTTTAGCTATGTTTCGAAGTTGCATTTTCAAGTCTATATATGTATCAGGGAAGGAGTGGAGAGGAAGTCAGAAAAGGAAAAGAAGAGCAAAAACAGGAGGGAGCAGGCCATGTACCGCAAAACACACTACCATTGTTATCATGTCCCATTTATTCTAATGTATTGCCAAGATATGGTAATCGTGGACAGGCAGAGGATTCGATTTTTTTTACTCAGTTCACACACATGTAAGTAAAGTGGTGGCCTTTTTGATTTTGGTTGAGTCGAGAAGTGAAAGCAAGAAAGGTCCCAGACAATTAAGGGACGGAAAGGGGAAAGGGGAAAGGGAGCGGGTGGCAGGTATATCGTGTTTTCTTTTATCTTTTATCTTTCTTGTCTCATCCATAATCTTCATGGTGTTGTTAATTTCGTTCTTCGCGTCCTCCCTGCAAATCGCAGATGTAAATGCTCATATCGCCATTTTTATTTTTATTTTTTTTTTTCATTTTTCCTTCCCGTGTTCCTTTCACCAGGTTTGTTAGTTTTTACCTGGCCCTGGATACTTTTTTGTTGGTTTGTCCATCATATCGTGTTTTTCCTCTTTCTTGTTTCTCACATTGTCAGTTTGCCAGTTCAGTCTCTTCCCGCTCCTATCTTACCCCGGCACACATAGTTGCATACGATCACTATCTTTTATATCTAAGTTACATCTACTACTATGATTATTCACCCCAAATGCTCGTTCTCGTCATCCTCGCCTGTTCCGTATTGTTTATGTGAGCACTTTCATCTTCCCATTCTCAAACCAGCCAACCAGCCAACCAACCAATGCATGCCTTTTCTGTCTATGCCCACAGAGGGCTTAAATTGTTATTGTAGCGGAGCAGACAGAATGAGGCAGGAAACCTATAAAATGAGAGTAGAACAGAACAGAGAGGAGAGGAGAGGAGGGGGAAAATTTAGGACGGTGATATTTCTTTATACCATGTTATCATTAAGTTGAAATGAGATTGGAATTTTGATGTATTCTTTTGTATATTCACAATGCTTTGGTTTTCGGGGCCTTTTTTTTTTTTTTTTTTTTTTTTTTTTTTTTTTTTTTTAGTCGTCGTCCAAGTTGGCCCCAAGTAGGGCCATGATGGGGTAATACAATCACGGAGTCTAGAGAGTCCTGATATCTAGGGCCGTCCTGCTCATGACTTGATACAATGATCATTGTTGTTGTTGTGTTGTCAACCGAGCGAGGACAAGTAGGTGATCCTATCTCGGAGAGTCTGTGTAGATATATGGATTAGATATAGACGCTGTCCTCACTCAGCCTAGAAGAACAATACAAAAGATAAGTCCCAGCTGGCACAATTGACCTGGTTTTTGTTTCCCTGCTCCGTACACAGGGGACTATGATCGCCTTGATGGTTATTTCTAGTTTTGGCCTTCAGTGGCCTCCAGGACTCGATGGACTTGACGAAGATTGGAAAAGACAACAACCAAGAAGGCCGCTAAAAGTGTTTAGTCGCCAGCTAGCTGCCCTGAGGCGCCCACCAATTGTTGCGGGAATAGTTAACTTGCGTTGAATAGTTACCTCATTAGGGCCCCCTTTGTTTTGTTTTGCTTTGCTTTGCTGGCAGCTCCAAAGATGCAGTTTAGTTAAGTGACTGCTCAGAGGCATGCAGCACACATCCACAACACAAAACGCGCTTTTGACAAGAATTTTCCTTTCTGTCGGCCAACGGTCAGTTGTGCTGGATGAAAGCTGTTTGCGGGGTGAGACTTGGCCCTCCTCTCCTTTCCCTCTTCATCTCTTCTTCTCATCCTGGATGAATTGGTTGTTGAGTTGCTCGAAGCACATTCCTCTCTGTTTCCTGGCCAGCAGCTGGCCTGTTGTTGTTGTTCTTGTTGTTGTTCTTGTTGTTGTTGTTGTTGTTGTCTTAGCATGCGAGGCACAGCTAGAGTTCTATTTTTACGGTTAATGATCTAGCGGGTTTTTTTTTTTTTTTTTTTTTTTTTTTTTGTTTTGTTTTTGATTCCTCCTCATTTTCCCTCTTCCCTTCCCTTCCTTCCTCTTGAATATATTTGCCAAAATCCTATTTTGCTCCTTTCGCTGACCGCAAGTTTGCTACTCAACCCGAAAACAACAGTCGTACAGAGCAGCTAGCCGTCGCACCCCATCTGGTGGTGGACCTCTGGTTCAGCGGTGAACCTGCTGGAGCCGGGGGCAAGGGTACATGAGAACTGTTTGCTCTCCGAAAACACAAAGGCATTGATCGATCAACTTTACACACTCTCTATACCTGCGTGCTATTGAATCCACACGGCGATGGGCAAGGAAAAGACTCACCAGAGCCGTCCCTCGAAGATAAACACCTATACAGAGTTGAAGCATGGGCAGGGAGGGAGGCACGGGAATGAACAGGTTGGTTGTGATCTCTCTTCATATTGATTCCATCGGTTTTCTTTGGCGTTTCCATGGTTTGGGATGAACCATGTGCCTGCCACCGGAAGAACCTTCGAAGGCGTTGGTGGCTTCAAGCCTCTTTTGGGCCGATTTCGAACTCTTTTTCGAACTCGGTTTTTTTTTTTTTTCTTTGTTCCAGCCCACAGTTCGTCCAAAACTCAATCCTGGGAAAGCTTCGGCGGAGTGTTGTTCAATTTTCACGTTGAATATATTTTCTTGCTTTCTTTCTTCTTTTACTTGAGTGGAGAGTTTGTGTTATTTCTGTATCGTATTGTATTTTTCTTTCCTAATTTTTGTCATTGGTGGTGGGTACTGAATAATTGCAGCTAACGGCGCTCCCGTGCAGACTGATCAACACCATCATTATTCAACTCCCACTCACCGCCATGTTGAAGGCCAGCTAGGAAGTGCCTGTGAAGCTACCAGTCCGGACGCTGCTAGTGGCTCTGTGGGGCGAAATTCATCTGCAAAACGCAAACTGTTCAACGCAAATAATGACCAGAGTCCCGGATATGACTACGACTACGATCGTGATGATCCCCCAAAGGACTCACTGCTTGCTGCACTGCGTGCTGCCGAAAACAATGATGGCGCCAACCCCCTTGAATTATTTTCACCCCAGTATGGGAACGACATATCCAAATCGTTGCCAAAGCGCATGCGCTCGAATGAGTGGTTCTTGAAGAGGAGAGAGCTCAACGTTAGCCCTAGCCAGACTCATGGTGGCGGGAAGAAGGAGTCGGCAAATTCTCGCCTGCGCTCGAGAAGGAGGCCGTCTTACGTCAAGTCGCACAATGTTTATCGTTCCGTTTCTGCTTCTGCTCCTGCCGTCGCCGCCGCTAACGCCGCTAACGCAGAGGTGGGACGCAAATCCAGATTCCTTGAAGGAAGCATGAATGATCGTGTTAGTCAAAAGCCGCCTAGTATTTATATCGGAGAGGATATAGACGAGGCTGTTGATCGATATATGACTGGCGACGATGAAGATGGTGCTTCGGGAAGCGTTAGTTCACCCGGGAAGCCTCCAGGATATGGCCATTCGTACACTTCATCAACTGCAACCTCAATGAGCTCTGCTCCCACGGATGCTCCAAGCGCGAAGCAATCTGGGCTGTCCAGGTTTGGACAAGTTATAGCGTCTGCCTTTAACCCCTTTGGCGTGTGGAACAATGTCTCTGAAATATGGAATGGATCCCAGGATGGGACGAAGACGTCGACTACATCGGCGTCGACGGGTGCAACAGCGCATAAGGATATCCTTGCAGAGCGCCAGGCGCAAGCTGAAAAAGCTTATGCAGAACTTAAGGCCGCCGGGTATCAGGGCACAGTGAAGAGCATTTCTGCAAGCTACAGAGCACATCCCACCTCGGAAAAGAACAGCGTTAAAAAAAAATCAAAACATCCCTATCTTGCCGGAGGGACGCCTCAGCAGCAGCGTAAGCCCATTCGTTCCATCTCTTCTACCTTCAGCAAGGATAACCTCCTCAGCCCATCAAAATCCGCGTTTCGCGCATCGTTCCTGGATTTGCGGAAAGCGGCTTCAAATATAAGTCTTCCGTTGACCCCGAAGCGGACAGATGCTGCCGGTGAGGATAATAACCACAATAATGATGACAACGAGGATGGGAATTCCAGGGCTCTTCGAGAAAAGGTTTCTCGTAGGCATCTGGAGAAGCAGCGTAAGTTGAGGAAGAAGGTTAGTAATTTGGAGAGCCAGCTGGAGCGGGCGAAGAGGCAGTTGCGTCTGGCATCTGGGGAATGGGATATTGACCACGAGAGCACGACTGAAAATACAAGTACAAGCGCGAACGGCAGTGCGAATATGAATGAAACCGAGAAAGTTGACGAGATAGATTCCGTGCCACCCGTGCCTCCTCCTCATCGTGAAGGGGTTAAGGTGGGACGGAGGAAGAAATTTGTCCCGGGCGCACTGCCGTCACTACCGTCCGAGAGGATTTTGCTCGGTCAAGGCGTGGAGAAGCCTCCGAATAAGGCGGTGTTTGCGGGTGCAACTCCAAATGGCCCTCGACCTCTAAATGCAGAGGATGCCAGTACTCCGTCCCATAAACTTAGGAAAACAAGGCGTGAGAAGAACCTAGCGCCCGCGACGAGCTCTCGGCACGCAAGCATGTCGACCGGGGCACTAGACATTCATCGGGAGGAACATCGTAATAACGACGCAGTTCCATATCCAGAAGATCACGCACGCTCCCCGCCCTTTAATTCCTCATCGGTTTCGAAACGGAACCAACCAGGCCGAAAACAAGGTCTTAGTGACGACAACCAGCCTCCCTCCAACGCACAACTCGTCCCCAAACCCAACCACCCACCCCGCCGTCGCCGGTCCCCGACGACTTTTCCAAACCAAAACCACATCCGCGACCATACTTCCGATATACCCACAAACAGCACAACTAGCAGCAGCATAAAGTGCCCCCAACCACGTCGCAGCGGCAGCGGAGCTGCCATGCGAAATGACCACCAGGATGACGACGGTGATGATGACATCCCGCCCGTCCCACCGCTACCAGCCAATTTCATCGCTATGGCTGGGGCCAGTGTACGGAGCCGGGGGCAGCTGGAGGTACAACAAGAGGAGCAGGTGTGCGTGCAGAACCAGCAGCAGCAGAAGAAACAGCAACAGAAACCGCAGGAGTTTGACTGGCCGGAGGACTTTTTGTGAATATTCGTTTTTTTTTTTTTTTTTTTTTTCCTTTTTCTTGGTGGAAATTTTCTGGGTTTCCTTGGGGAGTGGAACTGAGCAAATGCGTTGTTAGGCGACGGAGGCAATATAGTAGAAACTGGGAGACAGCTAGAAGTACAGAGGATGGCTGTATGATGGATTAAGACGGAGTTATGCTTTTGGTTCTGGGTTTCTGGGACTTCTGGTGCTTTTTCTTGCCATGGGATGGGGTGATGGGGTTTTGGAAGGGTTTGCACTGTACTATTTTGCTTTGATTTCTGATACCTACCTATTTTACGCGGCGATTTATGTTTATGTGAATGCTCTCGATTGCTTTATTTTGCATTTGGGGGTTTTATTTTAAAATCTTGTCGATTTGGAAGTTTTGGGGAAATTATTCTCGGTCTGATGTTTTTTGTGGGAAAAGTTGCGAGATGCCTGGGTAACCTGCACTTGGATTTACTTACACATCTTCAGAAGATGAGAGAACATCTCAGTTTCCACATTGCGCTTCCGTTAGTTTTCCTTCTCATTTCTCTTACGTCTCCAATGTTCTTTTCTGTTTAAACTGACTGGTGCGGATTTTGAGCATTGTTGTTTCTGATTTGATTCCCTTTCACTCAAAGATTCATCCATCGCTGGTACGTTTTTGTATTTGTGGGATAATTTGAATCATAGGTTCAATGATCGATGAGGATTTTGTCCGTATGTTTTACTCAAAACACTGCTTTGACTCTCCAATGGGGAGATTCCTTCTCCGCCAGGCAATTGTGGTGGAAGCAAGTCCAAAAAAAAAAAAAAAAAAAAAAAAAAAAAAAAAAAAAAAATGATAGGATTGATAGGTCGAATATTAACTCGATGAAATACTGAGCCTTCATGCCGTGTGATATTTATTCGAAATCTTCGTGAAGACATCAAGACATCAACAACCTCTCTCCAAAAACCCAACCGGGCGTCCGGCTGATTGATTGAATTTTTCGGTAGGATTCACCAGCTACAGAAACTAGTACCTACCTACCGAGTTCAGCCCGAGTAAAAATAGTAGTAGTAGTAGTATAAAACAACCAATCAAATCAACGGATATAATAAAGTTTAACATGCCGGCAATCACAAATACCATCGAAATTCCTCCGATGACGGGCCATCCCTTAGATTCTTCGTCGACACATCCCTCGCTTTGATGGTGACTCCCGCTCGACGATCTCGGCGTTTATTATCCAACAACATATAAAGCCCCAGGCAGCCCACGAGGGTCGCACCCGCGGCCCCGAATGATGCAGTTGTGATCAACGCAGGCTCATACTTGGGCTTGTCCTTGGCTCGGAAGATGTTGCTACTGACAATTCCCATCACGTTGGCCAGCGGGACTCCGACAGAGGTAAGCATTATGCGGCGGCCTTCGTGCGCGATGTTGTTGTTGTACCATGTACTGAGTAGCACGGAAGGGGCAGAGGTACCCCATGTCATCATGAAGCAGGCGTAATACGCGAGCTTCAGCTGGGCATTCACGTCATCGATTGCAGCATAGATGATAAAGCCAGTGAATGTAAGAACGAAGCCAAGGACAATGAAAGGGAAGCGGATGCGGGCCCAGTCGGACGAAAACGCGAGGATAAGAAGCATCACGGCGCCCGTGCAATTGGGTGCGACGGTGTACAGGTTCGTTTTCACAGTGGTGTAGCCCAGGCGTTGAATGATTTGGGGCATGAATAGGGCGACAGATTGAATGGGAATGCCGAGACACATCTCGACGCCGAGGAAAGCATAAGAGATCGGTTGCTTGAAGACGAGGATTGCGTCGCGGAAGTTGAATTTCTCGTCGACAACGGAACTGGAATCTACTTGGATGCGGTGGAAGGCCAGCGCTTTCTCCTGCTCAGTGAGGAATTTCGCTTGGGCGGCGCTCAGGGGCAGGTACCAGTATGCGAAGACTGCAAAGGCGACGCTAGCGGCGCCTTCAATAAGGAAGAGATAGCGCCAGCCCTCCAGCGAGGTATTTTCAATTCTGAAGACAGCAAAGGAGAGAAGGCCCGAGAAAGCATTGGCAATGTTGGACGCCGCGTAGAAAATGGCGAGGCGGCGGGCAAGCTCGCCACGTCGATAGAAAGTTGTGAGATAGTAGATTACCAGCGGGAAGAAACCGGATTCCGCCATCCCAAGGAACCAGCGAAGGGCGAACATGCCACCGAAGTTCTTAGTGGCGGCGGAGAGAAGAGTCATTGAGCCAAAAACGAACATAAGAATAGGTAAAACGCGGGCAGGGTTGTATTTTTTGCCCAGCATAGACACTGGTGGCGCGAAAAGCACATAGGGAACGAAAAAAATGGAGAGGAGAAGGTTGTATTGGCCGTCTTTGAAGTTGAGATCTATTCCCCCTTGCCGTTAGACCTGGTGCAAGGGAGCCCACAAAGTGGCAGATAATGAATGCTTTCCCTTACCTTTGCTCAACCCATCTGTCTGGGCATTACCCACGTTGCCTTTATCCAGTGCATTGAATAAATCTAGAAAACTGCCGTCAGCTCTGGTCGGTTCGTGGATGCTGCATATCCGGATGGGGATCCTGGTGTCTGTGTTCACTTACACATTATAGCCAAAACTGGCATCAAGCGGACATCAAATTTCCTGCATAGCGCTCGCTCTGCTTTGTGGTCCGTGATGCGAGCAACATTATCGTCAAATTTCCCTTCACCCTGTAATGAGTTCCTCTCTAGGTTGCCCGCAGACTCGTAAGTCAACTCGTTTTTTGAAATATCATCGCTGACCACCGGTGTTGGTTTCTCCGAAGCCATGCCGGTAAGATCCCGGATGGGCTTTCTTAATGGCAGATGAACGGTAAGCTTTTTGAATATATACCGGTGCCCGGCTCAGATGTTGACTGCCAGTAGTGGACTAAGAGAAAGACGGGGAGCAATGCCAGAGGAATCAACCCCTCTGCTTCGCAAGGATACAAACGGAGGGACCGCCACAAACACCCACTCACACATACAAGGGCCACGGGGGACGAAAAGGGAGGAAAAACTGGGGACTTTATATACGCGATCTTTAATGAATTCACCCGAGTTAAGATCTTCCAAGATCCTGTTCACCGATACAAAGGTCGAAGAGAGGAGATACACCATCCCAGGCCGTCCAAGGTGTCAGACAGAAGCACACGAGGGGAATAAGCCAGCAAGTCTGTTTCTCCCGCCATTAGATGGTTGGCGACATGGCTGACGGGCGGAAACTATTCCTCCATGAGATACAGTTTGAATTCGGATCCTGAAGACTAAAGCTAGTTGATAGAGCTATCACGGCGGGCGTGGGGGTTAGCTGTTGTCCTTGAGGCCGTCAAGCGCCTAGATTGCACTTGTACGCAGCGATTCTTGGATTTCCCCGCAGCCGAGTGTACAAACAACTGACTGGCGGCCATGATGCTCTGCGGGTGAGAGCTCTGTGGGGAACAGCTGCTCGGCGCGCAGGGCTTCTAGCGGTTTTCTGAGACGGCGGGACAAGCAGACTAGGAGACTAGGAGGCGACTCCGCATTTTCGGCGTATTCGCCTAGGGATTCTCCTGGTGTCTGGAGGCTCCGTGGTCGATTGTTCCCTGGCGGCCAAGAATGCTCGGCGGAAGAGAATGAAACGAGATGGCCCAACATCATCACGTAACGCTACGAGAAAGAGGCCGGAATAAGGCGTTTGCTTGCATTCGTTCGTGAATCATGACCTTGCGAGAACAACATCAATGGGCGAAGATATATTTCTAAACCTTGTCTCCGGTTATCCAAACTAATCCTCATGGTTGCTCCTTAAACGATGCAAGCAGCTGCAGCGAGTTATTATAGGAAGTAAACATTAAAACAAAGCAAAATAAACAAATGGAAGCAAATTAGTCAAGTGAACGGAAAATAAAACAAATACAAGTATCCGCCAACTTACGATGGAGCAGTGGCTATCAATGTTTACGAGTAATTATCTAACATATACAGAGCGCAACTACATAGTTAACTACACTGCGATCTACGGAGTACACAGCTTTCTACCAACTCTACGGATTCTTAGGTTGTCCGTGTAACAATTAACTTGATTTTTCTAAGGACATGGAAAATTACCACTATTTTTATTATAATCGTTAGGCAAGTAAGTGTGCGCTGTTGAGCTGCGGTGTTGGCTATGAATAGTATATATGGCCATCTCGAATTGAATGTCAAGCATTCTGTATTCATTTGATGCTACCTAATTGAGAGGGGCAACAAAAAAAAAACAACCTCATGATATGTATGCAAATCATGTTTCATTTTGTTAGGTGGACAAGGATCCCTCGTCAATCCCCATCTTATGGCTGGGGAGTGAGTGTCAGCTACTGATTACTATCTACACCGCTTCAACGTACGGTATGGGAAAGGACCAGCGAAGCAAATTCCAGGGAAAGTCTTGATTTTGTCGTTTTGGTTTCTAATTCTCGGGATCTGGAGATGTTATAGATGTTACCGGATATGCAACGGAGTGGCCAATGCTGGAAAAAGCAATAACGACGCCAATGTCCTTAGTTCGCCAGCCTCATCAGTCCAAGACGCTCCAAAAACAAGCTCCCCCAAACCTTAACAGAACAGTTGGCTTGGTTCGGATATAAATAACTAACTATGGGTTGGGAGAGAAATAAGAGTGCAATGTCTTCGTACTTGGCGATGAGCGAAAATTATTGCGCAATAGTTATAGGAACTTTTTACAGCCCTCAACCATATAGGTGATAGCGTCTCTGCCGGCTTGCAGGACTCCATCCATTGCAAGGAACGGATGGGGCATCCCCTCCATAACATGCAAGTCAATGTGAATCCCGGATTTCATCAATTTCTCCGCGTACTTCTCTCCTTCGCTCCTTAACACATCAAGCTCTCCCACCATCATGATTGCGGGAGGTACACCAGACCAAGTGGGTGACTCGTCCGCGTAAAACAATGGACTGGCTTCAGGGTTTGCCCAGTCTGATTCTCGGGGCAGATAGTGTCGTCTATACCAAAGCATTTTCGCAGCAGGGAGAGCAGGGATGTGTTCATTGTCACGGTAGGAGATGTTGTTACTGACATCAGCTGTGTTGTCCATCACCGGGACACTGAGTAGCTGTACTTTTAGAGGCGAAAAATTCCGCGCCGCACATCGATGTGTCATGACGGCTGCAAGGTTGCCGCCTGCACTCGAGCCTCCCACACCGATGCGCGAGATGTCAAGGTTGAGATGCGTGCGGCCTTCCGATAATGCCCAAAGGACGGCCTCCCAGCAATCGTGTACCGCCGCTGGGAATGGGTTTTCCGGCGCGAGTCTGGTGAGTTGGATTAGTGAATCAACACTAACTACTATCTCTCGGGATAGAAATGAAATCTGGAATGAAAATAAACAAACGAACCTGTAATCAACGGTAATAACCACACACTCGGCCCTGGAGCAGATATTCGTACAGACGACATTCTCCGTATCGATATTCCCGAGCACCCACCCGCCCCCGTGAAAGTAAATAAGCGCTGGCCACCCGCCCGCCGGCGCTTTCTCCGCGATTGGAGTGAAGCATCGCAAATTCACATCTAGACCATCACTCTCCTTCCGTTTAATAAAGATATCTTCTTGTTTACCCACAGGTAACAATGGCCCCGCGCCTGGTATGAGGACCCCAGATGTGCGCGATGCGGCAACGGGTTGGAGATGTACCTGCTCCTGATTAATGATGTGTTTGTTGTAGAAGGAGACATATTCTGGATGTATTTTTGAAGCGACGGACTCGTGCAGCGGGTATGGGGGTGGCATGGTGGCGCGAGGATGATTTCTCCTGTTTCGCTTTCGAATCTTCTCGCAATTATCTTTTTTTGCTCGCGGAGTTATTTGAATATTTTTGCGTCGTTCGGTGGGAGGCTACGACGTGATTGTCTCAGTGTATGAAAGCCAGTCTTTTCAACCTCGGGCCGCTGATAGGAGTTGTTGTGGAACCCTCTGCTGCCCCCAAATGTCATATCTTGGGAGTGAATCTTTGACCCCCGCGTTTGATCTCAATCTGTAGGTGTCGAACATCTCCTAGCCGCAAAAGCGGGGGCCTAGCTGATTCACAAGCGCCACCGCGAATAATTGCCCTGCAGCATCAGGATGTTCAGGCTAAACCGGTAGAGACCCCCAATGTTGGAATTCAACGTCCATACTCCCAAGTGTGGGGGCACGTTTCTGGAGACTCGGAGAGAAATGTCATCTTCACCCCAATTACCGGAGGATTGGATCGGTCCCACGGAAAACGATGGGTGGGATGCGAGACAGCATGTGGGGGTATGTGCCTTTTCGAAGAACGTGAATTGCTATTTGCAAGATGCCGTTCGCTCACTTTCGCCTTGCGCTGTCGAGGATTGGCCTCCTGAGCTCGCTTTTGATTATCCCGAGGTAGGGCTAAATTCCCAATTTGGTATGTGGACCAGTATCATCATCCTATCTCATATAAACAACAAAAAATTTCCAATTGGATGTCAATTGAACTAATAGCTTTAGCACGCTTTCTCCTTGAATAGTACTTTCCTACTTTATTCGTATTTTTCTTGCGATGATTTTTCAACGCGGCTGGAGGAGGAGGAGACAACGTTGCTCAGTCCAATGTTTTAAGCTCCAATATTCAATGACACCATGATACGGGGAAAGCTGTGGCGAGGAATTGATGCTCAAGCCAGGGAATAGTCTAAAAAATAACCTGCTCTGATTCTCTTCACCCAATGCATTCCCGACGTCGTATCGCACCGGTTCTCTTTTCATGAGTTCAAGTTGGCAAGTATGCGGTTACATTGCTATTTTTTTATACTAAGTATCAATGCATTGATTGGAGGAGCACGACCCGTTCATCAAGCTGGCTCAGACCGATACTGTGTCGCTCGCCTTAAGAAGCGTGCCTAGATGCCCCACTTCCATGAAGATCAGTCATGACTTGTTGGACGCTCCAGAGGAACTGCATGAAAATAGTACGACCTGTCAGCTTCACTTGCTTATCTTTTTGAAAACGCTGCGGCTACGAAGCTAAAGAAAGTTTTATCAGCACCAAAAAAGGGGGTTCAGTGATAGCGTGAAAACTTCCAGGAGATCGTCGAAAGTTCTCACACGTCGCATTGAACATGTACCATAAAGACTGGGCGAAGTATCTCAGTAACGGTATTTTTTTTTTTTTTTTTTTTTTTTTTTCCTGGATAGGATAAATCACACAAAAATCGGACTAGCCAATAATCCTCACAACAGTGGTGCAAGTTTCTGCCCTGCGTTTCTCCATCCCCACAAATAACCAAAATTCCCTGTCAGTTGCCGGCGCGTCCGGTCTTCCCCCTCCTAGATCCCTTGCTGGACATAGTTGGCGAAACTTCATACTTCCGAGTCCGTATGAATCAGTTGGGTCAGCCCGATACGTGTTCAGTTATCCAGGAGCAGAGCATTTGTGGCTTCTCTCCTGAAAGGATACGTTGGGTAAGTGGGATGTGTGGGATGCGTGGGGGTATTATCTTTGGACATGGGAACTCCTGCCTGAAGTCCATTTGGGCCCCATTGCTCCATACTTCGAAAATAAGCGAGCGACAAGCGGAGGGGGAAGTTGACGAGAAGCCTTATGCCCCTGGCCATTGCTCGGAGAAGGGGACGAATTCTGAGTGAGTTAAGCAGGACTGATGGGATGGCGGACCATGCTTGGTTGACACCCATTGATTCATTCAGGGCAATCTGGATAAAACCAAGCATTGGCTGAAGCTAACGATATTGAAATCTACACTCTTTAAGAGAGAAATCTTCCAATGACAAAAGCGAATTTTATTTTATGCCGCCTTGTGAGTTATGCTACCTCGCTTTACCATGATAAATTTATTAAAACTTCAAGGAAGTTCAAAAAAAAAAAAAAAAAAAAAAAAAAAATAGCTACAAAGTAACAAGGAAGGAGACCGTTTACAACGAACGCTCATACTCAACGAGTTCGCTAAACTCCTTTGTATAGGCTGCTGCCATCGCATCAGTCGGCCTGGGCAGGGGCTTGCGAGCGAATCCCCCGTATCCCAAGTGTGACTCCATGGCAGATTTAATCCCTACCACACCCCCCTGAATAGCCGCCCAATCGCCACGGGCCAAAATTTCCTGAGCACTTCGAGCCTCCTTGAGCTTTCCCTGATAATATAGATCCATTACCCGCACGCAAGTCTTGGGCGCAATATTGGCGATCCCCCCAATAATCCCTGATCCACCACTGATGAGAGTTTGTATCGTAAAGTCTCCTGAACCACCAAGGCACAGGAACGGAGCTGGGACTGAGGCTTTGCTGTCCTGGGCGGCGGCAACACGGGTTAATTTCCCTGTGTTTCCGCAGGTAAACTTACAGCCCACAATATTTGGGTGTTTGCTCAATGCGATGATCGTGTCTGAGTCCAGATCCAGACCTGAAACGGCAGCGGGATAGTTATATATGACAATCGGGAGCGGAGATGCATCAGCTACGTCGCGGAAAAACTGAAGAATCGAATCTGATAAAAGGAGTGCTTTGTAGTAAGATGCAGCAAGGACGAGGGCGTAGTCAGCACCGGCTGCATATGCCTGGTGACAAAGCTTGATGGTTTCCCGAGTAGATTGTGCACTGCAGCCAACGATGAGGGGCATGTTGGGAAACCCGGAGCTATCTAGCGCCTTGCGAGTGGTTTCAATGGCCGCAATGCGTTCTTCGTTTGATAGATGTACTGCTTCGCCGTTAGAGCCGTGGACGGCCAGGCCGGTCACGCCAGCTTGTGCTAACCACATGGCATGTTTGCTGATTGTCTGGATATCGAGATTCTCTGTTCCTTTTTCAAAAAAGCATATAGTTGGAACGTATACACCTGGTTTTAGCGGGCGGCGGGGTCGGTCGCTGCCGCCATTTTCGCTGACGTCCTTATGGGCTGTGGACATTGGAAACATGTTGGTAATCAAGGTGGAAAGGGTTTTCCAATCGTTTTGTGATGTCTTTTCGTCCTTTTCTAAAGAAGAGGTCGAGCTTGGGGGTTTGAGCTTCGAAAGTACTCTTTCGGGTGGAGGTGTGCTTTATGTGACGACGAAGTTACAACGAGAATGCGGGAAGGCTGAAAGCTGAAAGCCCGCAGCTAATATTGGTTGTTCTGAAGGAAATCGGGAAAGCAGGAGCTAACAGCAGAAATTCCAGAGAAGATCTGCCCGAAAAACAGGCGGAGTGAAAGGATGGATTGATCGAGGGGGGTCATTTATCACGAGCCATTATTCCTCAGGGGTTCAATAGTTTATGAATTTTGAAGAATGAAACCGGGCCACTCAGCTCGATTGAGCCCCCCAAAATCCACCTCATGATGACCCAAAATTATGTAAATAGGGAAAATGCCTGGTAGTGACCAATTTCACGACTGCATCCAGAGGTGACCCCCACGCCGTAAAAGGATGCTTGCTGGTGGGGAGCCAGAGCCAGAGCCCACATCGACGGGAGGGGAGTTCCAAGGACCATTTTGTGGCTGAACCTCCCCGGTTAGTAAGAGACTTCGTATGGACCATCACGCGAGAGACCCAGCAAGTTGGGCGACAGTGCTGAATTGTCTTGCTGCGGTAATTGCGGGGAAATGGGGGTGGCGGAGGTGTTGGGTTCACACTAGTCTTTGAAATGGTGCAGCCTCAGAGCATGAATATCCCTTGTGCAAAGCGGTGGGATGCTGCATCATGAGGCTGCGGGGAGAGCGATGCATGACCTGCTGCATCCTGCTGTGGTGATATCCAGGTGAAAACTGATGACGGCGCCAAACCCATCCATGGGGAGATGTGAAAGATGAAAACAAACTCCTTCAGAAAGTATTTAGCCTCTCGGCGAGTTCTTTGCTTTCTGTTTGTTATCCGTGAAAGCTGATTGATTGATTCATATGTTTGCAATTTTGGGGGATTGAAACTAGTTGATAGGTCCCTCGAGCGTTTGAATGCGCTTGAAGACTGTGGAGTGCCCTCGAACCCCTCTTAATGGAGAGATGATAGAACGAATTTATACATAAAATACTCGAAAAAGCTAGCTAGGTATTCTGTACAGAGTGCAGATATGTTGGTAACTATGCCCAATCAAACATGTGGTCGTGTGATCTCATATTTCTTTTTGATATTTCCTTTCTTTTTTTCCTCCTTTTCTTCGGTGTCGCTAGATGGCTTGAAAGGAGCAAAGATATCTCGACGAAAGGAGAGCGTCGCAGTTCAAATGAAGGCAGAACACTCTATTTCAACGTCCGTACCCAAGGGGAGTGCTTTCACAGCAACGCAGGTTCGCACCTGGACAGTTTCATCAGTAAAACCACACAATAATGGCCTCGAAACTCACAACAAGACGAGGACCCTTACCGGTTTAGGCTCTTGGCTCAGGAACTGGCCATATATTTCATTCATGGCCGCAAAGTCGTCCATATTGGCAAGGAAGACGTTGACCTTGATAGCCTTCTCTAAGCTTGAGCCGGCTTGCTCCAATACAGCGCTCAGGTTGCGGAATATTTGGGCCTGCAAGATAGATCACTGTTAGCGGAACTAACCGCGCGTGCGTAGTTGTTGCGAGTGGCCATGTTTTCTTTGCTTTTTCTTTGCTTTTTCTTTCTTTTTAAATAGTAGAGAGCAAGCAGCATACTGTTCGATCCTGAACTGTTCCCTCGACCAGTTTGCCAGTGGCCGGATCCATTCCCACCTGGCCCGAGCAGTATACAATTCCGTTGTAAACGATTCCCTGGGACAACACCGGGATAGGCGCGGGGGCCTTGTCGGTCAGGACAACCTGCTTCGCGGATGCCATATTTGCTGGAACGAGCCACGGAATGATCGGCTTATGAATTGCAACAGCTATCCAGAGAAATGGCGGGTGAAAGCAGTCCCTTTCTTAACAACTTGAAGCATCCGCTCACGAGTCGATGTGAGGTGGAAAATTGGCATCGAAGTGCCCCTCCTCGGCAATGGAGGTTGTTTGGCGAAGTGGGATATCTGGCCCTCCATCCCACACAGGGGAGAGAGCGTGGGGGTTTTGCCTGCGAGTCCCTGTCACATACAAACTTAGCGAGACGGCGATATGACGATAGGATATGCATGCGACGTTGATTTGGTTTGGAGCAGAAATGTGGGAGCTTCCTTGGTCCTTAATCGTTCCCAGAAGGAGGAAGTTCTGATTGCAAAACTGCCGGTGCGGGGCATTTGGGCTTCAGTTGAATTCCCTCTGAAAAACATAACTGCCAGGTCCAGGTCCCACCAGCCTCCCAGTAGAATGCCGATTCACCCTTCTCGTAGGCTATACATAACACATAGCAAGACATCGACAATAACTCCTCACCAATGTCCGGTGTGACCAATTATCCCAATGCTTCGCGCGAGGGCCTCAAGGCCCAGTATGTTGGGCGGATGCTTCGCGATGTTGACGGCCCAGCTGCGATTATAGACGTGGCTGTTGCACGTAAGAACTGCCAACTGATGCTCGATGCAGCAGAGGCCTTGGGGGTCCTTTTCCGCTCTCATGTTAAGACTCACAAGGTACTGGGAGTTTTGATCATTCTTCTATTCACTTAATGCTGTCTTTCTACGTCCCATGTTGGATTTTGGCTTTTACGCAGGATTACATTACATATTATATTTGTGAATGTGGGTAGCTAATATTTACTCCTAGACAACAGAGCTCACGAAGTTCCAAGTAGGGGAGCAGAGCAATCCGGTTCGATTGGTAGTTTCGACCCTCGCAGAAGCTGAGCAGCTACAGCCGTACCTCGAAGAATGCAAAGCCAATGGGAGGTCTATAGACGTAAGACATTGTTTCATGATTTTATATAGAATTTCAACAATCAAATATTAATGCCTGCCTAATAGCTCATTTATGGCTTGCCTGTGCAACCGTCGAGCTTCAAACGGCTTACGGCGCTGGGTAAATCGCTAGGAACTGCGAGTATATCCGTGCTTGTGGATAATCCAGATATTATCCCCTTCCTTTCTCAATACCGAGAGACCACATCAGACACTCTTGGTGTCTTTATCAAGCTTGATACTGGCAATAATAGAGCCGGTATTCTGCCGGAGTCCCAGCAATTTAAAGACCTCGTTGCAGCAGTCCATGCAGCCGAGCATGATGACTCTATCGGAATATCACTACGCGGGTTTTACAGCCATTTAGGCCACAGTTATAGTTCGGATAGCACCAATGAAGCCATGGATTATCTGGCGCAGGAGGTCGAACGATGTGGGATCGCTGCCGCCTATGCCTCGACAGTGGGCAAATATTCAGGGAGCCGCTTTCTAATTTCTGTTGGCGCGACCCCAACCACCACAGCGGCTCAGAATCTCACCTCCCCTGATACGGTTGACCCTACGATTAAACGGGTCAAGGAGTTATTTGATCGCTCGAAGGAATCCTACGACATCGAACTACATGCCGGCGCCTATGTAACGCTGGATATGCAACAGCTAGCAGCACACGCCCGGCCAACCTCGTCACATCTCTCTTTCAACGACATAGCCTTGACCGTCCTGGCAGAGGTCGGAAGTCTATACCCCCACAGAGAAAAGCCAGAAGCACTTGCCGCATGCGGGAGCCTATGTCTCGGTCGAGAAGCGTGTCGAAACTATCCTGGCTGGGGAGTCGTCACGCCCTGGCTGGAAGGTGGTGAGGGAATAAGGACGGCGGAAACCGGATGGTATGATCCCGAAGGAGATCGAAGGGGGTGGATTATGGATCGGATTAGCCAGGAACATGGGATTCTTGCGTGGCATGGCCCACGAGATAAGGTTCGGCTGCTGAAAATCGGAGAGAAAATTCGGATTTGGCCCAATCACTGCTGTATTTGTATAGCTGGGTTTAGCTATGTGTTGGTGGTGGATTCGAGCCTGGAAGGCGCTGAAAGGGATAGAGTGCAAGATGTGTGGTTCAGTTGGCGAGGATGGTAGACGGTGAGGACGGGTGCCGAGATGCAAGCATAAACTAAACTACTGTTTTTTCTTTTCTGGTCCTTATCGGTTTCTGACAAAGAATTGATATAATGGTGACCTTGGAAAGCGAAGATAGATACCTTTTTTCCCCTGTAACTCTCACCACGACATTTTGCTGTTAGTTAGTTAACCATCTCTGAAATTAAGGAACTTCAAGCTCAACTTATCTCCCTTGGGGATGGGGAAAGCTCGTCCAGGATAGCTGGAATTCCAAGGGACAGCTCGCATTCCCTGATTTGCTTATATTCAAGCTGCAGTGATCGAGCAGTAGTGTTAGGATATTAACAACGATCTTTTGCGTCTGTTCTACGGAGTACAGTACTGGTACTATTCAGACTATCCAACTCCATGAGGCTCCCGATTTGGAGGTGATGTGAAGGAGGGTAAAGCAAACATACGCAATATCCGAGCTTCACTTCATCAAATTTTCGCCAGAAATTCTTAATTGATTAATAATTGATTAATCTTGTGTCTCAAGAGTGCTGTTCCGGGCAGAAATACCATATAGAGGCGGGTGTGACGGCTTTTTTTTCCCACCTTGCAAATGCAAAGGAGGCATTTGGCATATCGATATGATGATGCAGTAAATCGCGGCACCGAAAGGATTGTTCCTTAAGAAGGACTAGCTTAAGTAAGATATATATAATGGCATGCTCCTCTATCTCACAGGTATTTAGACAGATCTATCTTAGTTTGTAATATGGAATTTCATCAATCTCATATTGGTATGATACAAATGGGATATATTAGGCGCTGGTGAGATTTTCAAACTCACTAAACCACCTTCGTTAGAGCAACATGTGGATATATTCGTATCAAATCAGAGATATTTTCTGGGTGGGAGGATGGCAAACCCAAGGAAATTCATATAACTTCAAGCCTTAGGTAGGTTTGATCCGCTCGATCCCTGAGAGGGCTAAATACTAGTACTATTTTATTGACAATGGACATTAATGGCTTTTTGTCGGAACTGGATAAAGTCCGAATATTGACCCAAATACTGAATATCGATAGAATGATCGATAGAATGATCAGAAGATTCACCCTTTCCTTTTAGAAGAACCATGCCTCCTAGCGCTTGTTCTGCCATCTCAGTATCTGAAGCAGCTACCTTGGTAAACGCTGCATCTATCTTCTTCTTGATATCTTCATTCTTGAGTGCCTCATTCACCTTCTCACGTCGCTGCTCATTCTCCTTCCATCCTTCTGGTTTCTGGCTTAGGTTGAGATAGTAACATTTGACCCAGGGATGCTTTGCACCACAAACGCAGGTTCTCGATCTTGGTTGTCCTGCTTGCCTGCCATTTAAGGTAGCAAGGTTGGACACAAGCAGTCCTGGCTTGCTGTATCGTTCTTGCGATATTCAGATCGGAAATCATTGACCACATCTGCGAAGGAGAAGTTCTCCTTTCCTCCTATCTCAACTTCCCTCTTTCGGATGGTAGCGTACGAATTATCGATATGCATATTGGCATGGAAGAAATCCTCCCATATATCAAAGTTGCCATCTATACCAAAGTGCTTGATTTCTGCTTCAATCAGGGTCCAGGCATCTAACCACTGATCGAGGTTCTGTTTAGGCACTTTTTGCAAGTTCTGATACTTCTTCCATACCTCATACTTGCAGCCCGCAGTTCGAGGTGAAAACCTCTTCTTCAGAGCAATTAGAATATCCTTGACATCAATGTAACCATTTCCAGAAGTTGCTACTTCTAGCTCACTAAATGCCACTGTTCTGAAGATCTCCTGCCTGATCTTTCTAACACCTTTGAGCTTGTTCCGATAGATGTTGTTATCATTGTTGTACTTGGTATTCTCCATCTGCCATCTAATCATTGCTTCCATGGTGTATTCAGTAGGGAGCTCTGGGGGAATAGGTTCAGGTATTTCACTCATTCTATTGGAGCTTTCCTCACTAACAAGATCCAGTACTTGAAGGTCAGTGGCAAGACCTAGTATCATCTTGTACCATAAGATCCAGCTCCTAGAAGAATCCAGAAAGAGTGGCGCTCTTGATGTTGAATTTTCTGCTGACATCTTGGTTGCTATTACACAGATAAAAACAGATATAGAATCGAATGGATATAATCGATATAGTTCGCCGCTATCTCTCGCCGATACGTAGGTCGATGAGGAACGGATAGATATAGATAGTGCCGCAATCGTTCCTGATGAGGAGGTCGGTGAGATCGGATAGATAGATATAATCAGATAGATATCTCGCCGATAAGGAAGTCGGTGAGGATAGATAGATATAGATATCTTTGCCGATAAGGAGGTCGGTATGGATAGATATCAATATAATTGGATAGATATATGTAGTAGAGACATCAAGATATCGATAGGTAGCTAACCCGGTGTCGGAATTAAATAAGTCTGAATATTGCCCCAAATACTGAATATCGATAAAATAAATTGAATTGCTTATTCTAACTGCAATAAAAGGCCATATTTATAAGGAAAAGTATGTTTGCTTATACGAGCAAGGTAGTGCTAAGATTCAGTGGGGCATTGCTCAGTTTCATTCTAGTGAGACGTTCCGGGTTTCAAGTTGCTACAGAATTCTTGCTAATAGAACGTTGTCGGAGCTGATATCTCGTATATCAAGGATCAGAGATGACATCATGCTATAATCTGCCTTGTTGCCTATTTGCTTCGCCTTCTTCGAAATTGCCTTGCTGCGCATTATTATTAGAGCACTGCCCCGCTTGTATAAATACTGCCTTCTTATCATGTAATTATCGGAATAATAACAAATAATAAGCAATTCAATTTATTTCATTGATATTCAGTATTTGGGTCAATATTCGGACTTTATCCAGTTCCGACATCTATTATCAAGGATTCTGGAACAACTTAGAATCTGGAATGTCCCACTATATGAAACCAAGCAATGCCATGCGTATAATTAAGCACAGATTTCCCTATAAATACTGCCAGATTATCATGTAATTATTAGGAGTTAGAACAAGCAATTCAATCTATTTTATTGATATTCAGTATTTGGGGCAATATTCGGACTTATTTAGTTCCGACACTTGATTTAATACCCGGGCTCATCACTGTCGGAACTGGATAAAGTCCGTATATTGACCCAAATACTGAATATCGACGGAATAAGTTGAATTGATTATTCTTAACTCCCATATTTACATGATAACTAGGCAGTATTTATAAGAAAGAGAAAATGCTTGAACATATGATAGAGGCAGTGTTGGAATATAGCGGGGTAGTGAGATGTTACAGAGATCCTTGGCAGTAAGAAATTACAGAATCCTTGATATGATAGTTATATCATCTGACACTCTTACGGAGTATAATTACTAGTATCATTCAACTCCTCTACAAAGGATTCTAACATTTCGATTTCCTGACTGGCACACCCACCAAAAATGATTTGTTTGACACTGGATAGCCGATAGTGGAAAGGCCACCAAGGGCTGGGCTCGGCTCTATGTGCTTAGAATTGAGGGGAAAGCTATCAACGCTATGATAGTTTTGAAACGACGATATGCCGATGCGCTCTGGGGGTGGACCCCTTCGTTTTATCATGTATCTAGGCTCAGGGCCGGAGAACAAACATTAGAGAGACGTGTCACCCGATCAAAAGCAAATTCGATTACCATCTCACAATCTCAGGACAGCATGAATTTCGATCTTCCGGTAGAACCTGGTTTCTTACATTTCCTCCCTTGATGAATTTATTGAAAATGCGCAGAGAAAGGGAAGAGTTACTAGGCTAGAGAAACAACGAAGAAGATAACTTCTCTTGCAACAAATGTTATTATCATGGAATATGCGTGTTTGTTTTTGGGAATCTTTCATATAGTTATAAGAATAATAAGAATTACTAACCTCCACTTTGAAAAGCCCGGATTGATCAGAATCAATTGCGATGTTGCTATTTTCAAATTTTGCGTTAATAGAAAAAAAAAGAACGAGAGGAGGCTTCAATCAATCAATATTTACAACATGTATGGCCGCAGACTGCAAATCTTAACTACCGGGCTAGATGTAAATGCTAATAAAGACTGGAAATACGCCCCATGCATAAATTAACCGATATGCATGTCACAACTAACGTGTTTCGTATGGGAAAATAAAAACGACCACCACCCTTATTGGGGAAACATGAATTCAACTCCGCATCGCCATGCTTGCATCACTTGACCTCCATTGTTCCTCCTTCCATTATTACACTCTCCTATATCAATTTAGAAGATCGCGGTTACGTTTGCGTGGGAACTCACGCCACCTAATGAAAAAGAGCATTAGTCGAGAGGCATGCAGGCAAAAGAAAGATGCCATCAAATAGCACGTGGTTCAATACACATAAAGAAGAAAAGCGGATAGAGCGGGGAAGGGGGACGGGCAAATAGAAATTGACATACCTTTTACATTTGCAGGGGCACTAGTAACAAAGAAGTAATACCTCCCCTTCTCACGACACACCTTCGCCAGCGCCTCCAAATTCCACATCTCACCCAACGGCATTCCCCACAGCGCTAGAATGTGTTCGTGTAGGTAGTACTTGGCAGTTGTGGGCCAGCGCTCGAACGCAGGCGCATCTCCAGCCACGGCCGCAAAATAACAGTCATGCAACCAGTCAAGCACGGCCTCCTCTTGCGCCACTCCCGCATACTCCTCCTCCTCACCTGACTCAGTCTTGTCATCGCCCGAACTATGTCCGCGCAGGGCGAGCCTTGTGCGCTCCTCGGGGCTGCGTTTGTAGTAAGCTTCCACAAACCCAGAACGGATCAAGAGGAGATCGCCGACTTTGATGTCCCCGCCTTGTGATTCGGGGCGAATATCAATGCCCTGGGCTTTGCCGCATTTCTGGAGCTCTTCGAAGGTGATGGCGTGCGGAGAGTAAGGGTCGTAATCGATGCCGTTGGCCGTGGCATACGAGCGGTAGTCGAGGAGGACACCGCGGCCAGCGATGCCACGTTCGGCCCAGTGGTGAATACTGCACTTGTGGTTGGCGCCAGGGCCCAAAATGTCATCTGGTTTAGTCTGGAGAGGTTATGTTAGGAGGAATGGCTTTGTTTGAACTCGATGATAGACCTTTCTTTTTGGATTTTTGCTTACCCCGTTGTAGAATGTTTGGGATGAGATGTGAGCAAACTGTGGGTGATATCTATGTTAGTCGTGAAACGTGAGAAAAACATATACATTCTTCCAGTTAATAACAGAACACACATACGTGTCTGAAGCCGTCCCACTGGGTTCCACTCTGCGTGTTGAGCTGATAATTGTCGTCATAAGCAATTCCTGGAATCAGGGTCTTTATCGAGTGGACGAATTTCTCGCGGCCAAATCCTGGCTGTTCTGGAACGTTCAACGGAAGGCTATGGTACGTCAATTCTTTCAGTTCGAAAAATTGAAAATGAATCTGATTCGAAAACGGGCAATTGCGTACTTGAGAGGAACAACCTCCCCTGTCCTGATCTCGTCGGCTGCAGCCTTGACCCGGGATGGAGTAAGCAGATTCAATCTACCAATCTGTTTGGCAAAAAATATGTCAGTCCTCTGAGATGGCATCTGGTAGATATGAAGACATGAATGTTCCATCAACGAAATGCACCCCACGCACGTTGTCATTTTTGCCCCAAACCCAAGCTGCACCCTCAGGAGCACCTGGAACTTTTGGCAGGTCCTTGCGGAGAGGAAGTTTTGTATTCTCAGCGTCCCAGGGAAGCTCATCGGGAGACTTTGGACTGCTGAACATTCCAGCAAACTGAGCAGCTCTCTGCCTAATGGAAGACATTATGCTTAACCTCTAGCGGACCAAATCGTAGATATCCAACAGAGGGCGTACGGAGCAGGGGAAACGGGGGATGAGACCAGAACGCAGCATGGAGTGTGAAACAGAGGTAGCAATGTAGTGTTTCTCTCTAGCATCTAGAGCCGCGCTGAAGACGGGAGATTGTGGGAAAAAGAAGAATTGAACTAGAGAAACATTGTTCCTGCACAAAAGCCCTCACAGCAAAGAGCGAAGAAACAACACCAACACCAACACAACACACGCCGCGACAGGCAGCGAGAGACAACACGGACAACACACGCGGGAGCCGCCGGTATCACACACTGGGGGAACAAAGGCGCAGCTCCATCCTCCCCGCACGCAGCGGATCCTTTGACAAGTAACAAGCGACAACTTGCCTAGGTATCTCCAAATAGACTTTTTCCATCGAGCCACATACTCGAACATTATGCAGGGAAGAGGGAAGAACTGGACCACGAATTGCTGAGCACCATGCACCAACCGCAGAATGCCGTGCAAGAGCATGCGGATCAGCTGTGGTGGCTGAGCAACCAGGCAGATGGCCAGACTCACAGTTCACTAGCTGTTGAACTCCCAGGAACTTGTTGAGAGGAGGTTCGCTAACACCATTATTGTTTGGTGTCACCGACTAGCTTGGCTGCTCGGACAAAACGACCAAGCTATGAACTATGAGCTTGAAGCGATCCGAGGTCCGATCAAGCCGCTCAAGCTCGAAAGCAAGCGATTGAAGGACCGAAAATCGGCGCAGGCAAAGGGCACAATAATGGGACTCGAGTTTCCCAAAGGGGGAATTCTATGCATGGCAGACCTGGAAATTTCCAAGCTATCCCAGTCGATCCTTCTCTAGGTTAAACTCACAGGTGCTAGTAAGTTAACTTCTGATCTCGCGAGAAGTTTCACTGACTTGGACACAGACGCTCATACGGAACACAGAGGCGACCCTTTTCTGGAAACGCCCCGTCGGTCGGGATATAAAACTTCGTGGTAGCATGATACCGGTCGTGGAACGATCCAGCTCCTCTGCAGGTGTCAATTCGGAACTCGGCTTAAAATTGGAGCGTGGTCGTGTGTGGCGCGATGGACCCAAGATAAATGTCCGAATGCAGCTTGAGACGGTTGCTTACGGCATAGTTTATATCCATCATCATGTATCATACATAAAGCGTGCAGGACAATTAGATGGTATAGAACGCGTAAAGGACACAACGATAGAATCCGAACCTGGAACAAGTTGGATCAAAGCATAGAAACCCAAAGATAATATACTCCAATAACATCGTTATTTCAAGTCGTCTAACCAACAATCAAAACCCTACAAACAAGCAGAATCAAAGCATCAAAACCATCTAACAGAACTCAATTCATTGTTTCTGTCTTCAGAAACGGCTGGTCCCTCCCTTCAGACCCAGATCCCTCCTCAATATGCGAGGAAAACCTCCCCACAACTATATCCGCGCTCTTCCTCGCGTCCTCATCCTCCAATATAATAGGCGGGCCCGTAAATGCCTTGCGCGCCCGTACAAAATACCAAACAACACTGATCGTCCCAAACCCAGCAAACACCACGCTCGCATAATTCATCGTCGACGGCGTCACAGGCAAGGAGATTGGCATGCAAAACAGCGCAATGGCCAGCGTAATCCACGATACCGCTATCATATTGATAGTGTAGCCGAACTTCCCCAACGAAAAGGGCGCGTTTCTCACATTCCGCCGCCCGCGGACGACGGAGACGAGAATCGGCACGCCATATGAGGCCGAGAGACAAATGGTTGCGACACCCGTGAAAGAGTTAAATGCCGCGCTGGAGCCAAAATATATCAGGCCCAGCAGGCAATCGACAAGGGTAGACAATATCAGACCCCAGAGCGGCACGTCGAAACGCCTACTAACTCTGCGCCACAGTCTGGAGCCAGGTATGGCGCCATCGCGCGCAAATGCGTACGTGCAGCGGCTCGCGGCAGTTAGGGCGCCAATTCCGGCAAAGAGTTGGATGCCCAGGATGAGGAAGAGCAGGCCAAACCCACCGGCAGCGGAGCCGGTCACGGTCTTGAAGAGGAGGCCGATTGGTTGGCCGTTGGCTACTGCTCGCAGCAGTTCGACGGGTGGGAGCACAAAGAGGACTGGGAGTATGTATGATAGGCCGGTGATACCAGCTGCTACAACAGATAGCACGATGGCTTTAGGTACTTCGCGGTGCGGGTTTTGGGTCTCCTCGCACATTGCGGCTACCATCCCATAGCCGGTCAGGGTGTATGCAGCTTGGAGTAAGCCGACGAAGAATGCCCAGCCGCTCGGCCTATTGGTGGGGATTAGTGACTGAGAAGGATCGTTTTAATCTTGCTATATAGGAAAGTTTAAGTGGACGTGGGGAGGGGATGCGTCGGAACGCTCAAGCGCTTACCAGCCACTCGTCGAAGCGTCAAAGTGTCCAAACACGAAACTGGCATGGTTCCTTTGTTTCGCCAGGGACAATAAAGTAACCATAATGATCAGAACACTTGCTGCGGTCCAGTATATACAGACTTTGTTGATAATGTCAAGATACTTCACCCCAAATACATTTACCAAAGCGCAAACCAGCATCACAGCCCAGAACATCAAGATCGTCTGCCATTGATTGGGAACAAAATCCTCTCTCCCACAGCCAAATTGCGCTGAGAATCAACTGGCCTCCTGAAAAATTGATGCTTAGCGTGACAGTCCAGTTGCCCACCAGGGTCAGCCAACCATCGATAAATGACATCAACGGCGCCCATTCTTTTGTAGACAACATTGCGCTCCAATAGTATACTCCGCCGGCTGTAGGATAAACTGAGCAAATTTCGGCCAGAGACGCCGCGATGGCGATGGAGATAAGCGTCACCAGCACCCAGCCCCAGAGGATTGTTACGCTGAGTCCATCTGTCAGGGTGACATAGAGTGTTGTACTTAGACCGAAAGGAGCGGCCATGATAGCAAAGGACCTGCGCAAGTAGTTCCATTCCCCTTTATTAGCTGACGTTATCCAGCATAACAAACAACGCCATAGATCTGGGCCCATTCAAAAACTCAGCAAATAAAAAGGGATAAAGCGATTAAAACATACAGTCCCAACACACTCATCATGCCCAGATGTCGCGGCAGCTCCCCCTTGTAGCCCATTTTCTCCAGCGCAGCATCTGCCCTCACATCTGCCGAGCCCCGTCGAAGAGGCTCTCCATGACCGGCTGGTCCATCCTCCATATCGGTAAGAGGCTAATGGTAGTCACCGGAGTATAGAGAACCAAGGGGCAAAATAATGTCGTAGGAGATCCTCTGCATTCACGATGAGCAGGAATCTCGCCCTCACCGCAGGGGAAATGGCCTGGTTTTGAATGCTATCTTCCCCAGGGGACTGTGGAGACACACTTGAAGGATCTCGTATACCTTCCCCGCACGCGTCAGTTTTCCATGTCTGTGGAACGACGGGTCACTTGTTGAATTACTCAGCGACAGCTGGAAATACTAGTACAGATGGGAGAAGTCGAACATGTCTGCTTGTTTGGGAATAGATCAAGTAGTGAGCAGGTGCATTTGTAGCTGCAGATTGAGAGAGTTCGGCGCGCACAATCTCCTGAGTCCTTTATATCGTGGCGACTTGATAGCAACCTTCCGGGTGCGCCAGATAGTTCCACTTGGAGGGAGTGCTAACCCCAGCACTAAAACAAACTCTCTCACACCATGGACATCCATGCAAACCCCGCCCCCATACTCCTGACTCCCAGTCGAAGAAAGTCGGCCGAGCAGGTCAAGGGTTGAACTGATCCTCACAAGGATTTGATAAAGCCATCGCGGCGCGAAACCCCAGGCTCACACCCGACCTGGCCGATTCTTTATAAACCTTACTGGGCCCCAGCACTCGCATCATGCTCAAACTCGGCTCGAAGTATAAAATTATGGGGGTGGGGCAAAAATGTTTTGCATACCATACTGCGGAGGCCAAGTTTGCGTTCTCCACCAAGGACTTGGGCAAATGGATGGCTGGTGGGCCGCTTGTGATGCGCCTATCCAGGCATTTCAGCTGAGGGTTCGATACGCCCGCATTACAACGGTATCTCGAAGCAATAATGATGGATGGCATTGCGAATTCTGTCTTCGGCTAAAGACATCAAGTTGCGGTCGTTGAGCATCGACAAAACTAGTCAACTACGCCTCCTGCCCAGACACCATGCGGAGGCGTTTTGATCCGGGGCGGGAAGAGGCTTGCTCAGGAACTCAAGAACCCAAGTAATGTGGGGCCGATTCCAAAGCAGATCAACGATTGATGCTGTGGCTGTTCTCATTTTGGTTGCAGAAGCCCGAAGAACGGCCGCCGTTGACAGACTGGTGAGGCGCTCATTTTTGCTGCCAGTTCGCTCAACTGCAGAGTCTGACCCTTGACTCCGAGACTCTCGGGTTAGAAGTGATAGTAAAATCGATGGATATTACGAAAAATTCGGCCGGTTGCTTGTTCAGAGGCCTTGTTATATTTCCTGTGCATGATCCCCGCTTGCTTGAAAGCGTGTATGCTCGAGCACCTTTATACAACCAACTTCTCATTCTCATTCCAAGGAGCACCAATTCTCTCAAAAACACACATGAGCAAATGAGAATCGATTCCTATCCAATTTGCGGCCCGTTGCACGCTTACAACAAAATTACTCGGATTCGCATCATTTGAACTTCTCAAAAGGAAACCAGAAACAGGAACAACACAACAGCAAGCATGCAGGAAAATCAAAAACGCCTAACCTATCCAGCTCCCTCCTTAGTTCCGCTGGCAAATCCCAAACCGTCGCGCGCTGAGCCGTGGACCTACTTGTTCTCTCCGGAGGCTGGCTCCAGCTCCAAAGCCTCGAATCCTCCTGCGCTCAACCATTCACCTTCTGCATGATCTTCGCCTTGTTGACGGGTGAAATGCGTCTTCACGACATCCTTCCACACTCCGTTTCGCTTGCCCGGTTCTCGGAACCAGTCAATCATTGCCAATTTGATATTCTGCGGCGTGGCGTCTAGGATATGGAATAGTGAAAATGTTTTTAGAACGTATGTGTATAGATATAGTTTCAACGATTCTATAAAGAAGGATACCCTTCATGCTTAAATTTGAAATGATGCCTTGGAGAAACAGGCGCCCTTGTTTTGCTTTGATTTTTGTTATATAAAAAATATATAACTAAGGCATATAATAGGTATACTATATATGATATCATATAAATGGAAAACAAAATAAAACAACAAGGCCAAAAATAATCCTCTGGCCTAGTTTGGAGTAACTGGTGTGTACCAGAACCTGTCAGAAAAGCAAGTCCTCCCGCCGTTTTATTCGAAACCCGTCTTCATTCTCAAATCAAGAAACTTTTTTTTTCTCCTTTTCACTTCGTTTTTCCCTATTTTAGTCGCCGATTCCCAACACCTCTGGAGGACCACCGACCGACCTACCAACTCTATTGAAACCGAACCATCTTTCATGAAACGCAGCCAACCACCAAAAAGGGCAAAAAAAAGTGGGGAGGTTCAAATAGCCTGGGGATATCAAGTACCACATTTAAAGCATGTTTTCCGATTTTGGAAAATGAGAATAAAAAAGGAAGAGAGATATAATGAGGAAGAATAGGAAGCCAGGGCAAGAAGGGACAAATGGGTATTTTTTGCTCTCCCCAGTGGAAACTAGGATCTTAGAAACAGCAGGCACGAAATGGAAATTCATTGGAGAAGCTCAGGGGATCTGGGGAAATATCGTACGTACAGACATCTAGTAAGAAAAGGGCGAAGGGAATTATGTTGAGATGGGGTGAGGCGTTGGCGTGATGTTAAGTAAATGTTGAATTTTTGGTAGCGTTTGCTGTTAAGAGAGGGGTTGCGGGTTGGATATTTTAATATTTCCACTTCTGCCTCTCCACCCTTGTTCGTTTTTTTCTCTATCACCCAATCCTTCCCCAATCGCCATATCACCAGCAAACGAAACTGGTAGAAAATAAAACAAAACAAACATAAACAACCCAAAACACCAAGATCATCATTTAAAACACAAGGCCAGAAGTCATTTTCACATCTCGTTATTATGTGTGTTTATGGAATCGTTGTATTGGATATTTGTCGGTTGTCCTTCATCCTCCTTTGCCACATATGAAAATGGCGTGGGTTGGCGTGGCGTGGCATGCCATCAGGCTCGCTGCCATCTCGCAAAAAGCACATAAACATTGACTGAGATGCAGATTGGTGGAGAGGGTATCAATCTATCATCATGAACTTTTGCTCTTCCTTTTCCTTTTCTTTTGATATTTAGTTTGGTTTTAGTTTGGTCAAAAAAAAAAAAAAAAAAAAAAGCAAGGTGGGATTATCTATACATTGTGGGTGTTTTGTTCAATTTTTCTTGTCGTTGTTTCCCTGGTGGGTTTTGCTCTTAACAAGAAGCAAAAAGGGTAAACAAAAAAAAATCAGCTTTGGTGCAGAGGCAGAGTATAGGATATAAAATGCGAAGTGTTGGAGGGTAGGTATGAGAGAGACGAAAATTGGTGGTCAGTGTCAGTCATAGGCCATCACAATATGAGCAGCACCGCAAAGCGAGAATTTAAGAACAAAAACACAAACAGCCGAGTAACCAAACAATGCAAGCAAAATAGGCAATGAATTCATTTTATTTCGTCGCCCTCTCTCTCGTTTTTCATTGCGAAGGCGGAGCGGTGGAGGGCATGGTGGATCCGGTGACAAAGGTCATAGGTGAAGCGACGATGACGAATGATAACACCATCGTACACGAAATCGTCGTGATGTATAGGACGCCAGAATGTCTTTAAAACACCTGAACCAAGACCTGCCCGCAGGAGGGGAAGTATGGGGAGGAGGGTTAATAACAAAAATCGTTCCCCCTATTCAAGGACTACCTCCCTCGTCTGGTACGTCGAAGCCAAACCCAACCATATCCATACTATGAAGCGAGCCTGGCCCCCTTCCCATATCCAGATCTGACGACGCATAATCATTTCCCACACTCCCACAACCAACCCCAGCACTACCAACACTGCCGCCACCACCAATCGTCGGCCTCTCATGCGGTCCGAAAAATGGTCTATGCTCATCATCTCTCTCCCGCCCATCCTGTGATTTCCCACCTCCACCTGCATCGCTATTTTCGCAATCGCCATCAACCCATGGCCCGACGCTACGCTGCCAGAAGCGCTGGTTCGCCTGCTGGTCACCGAAGAGGTCGTGGTCGTGGAGGTGCCGGGGGAGGATGGAGGATTCGTGATCGATGTGGACCTCCAGAGAAGCGTGTGGGGACTGGTAGCGGAGTGGGGGACGACCGAAGGTTGAGCAGCCAGAAGCGGAGGCTGGGGAGTCAGCAGATGCAGGGAGGGGCATGGTCATGGACATGTGCATGTCGAAGACGGAGAGATGGTTTTGGTTCTGGTTATGATTTTGGAGGCCGTGGAGGTGGTGGTGATGGTGTGGATCATCCATGGTCATAGCATCTAGGGAAGACGCGCCGGGGAATGACGATGATGAGGACAGCGAGGACGGTTGCTGTCCGAATCTTGAAACACCAACACCCATCACTCCGACATGGTGATTACTATGGTTGCTGATGCCAGTTTCAAGCGTCAAATGTTCCTCAACGGTGGGTACCTGCATGCGTATCTTCCTTCTCGGTACTGTAACGTCCACCCCACAAGCCTCAATAACCTTTTCCTTATCCTCCTGCGAAAGACCGTCGAAATACTCAATAGCCAGCGATGGCTTCGGCTCGGCAAACACCTCACCAATCAAATTATATTCCCGCCTGGCATAGCCCGAAAAACCAAACCCGGGGGCATATGGCGATTGGTACACGCAAGACGACTGGCGCCGCTGCATGTCGAGGTAGGCATATTTCCCCTCAATTTTGGACCACGGGCCACAGGGTTCTTTAGCAGTCACATCCTGCAGCGTTTTTGCCTCCGGAGGTTTTTTTTCAACCACCGTTGTCACCTTTGGGGTTAGATTCAAAAGAGCAAATCGCAGCATTCGAAGCAGATGATCTACTTCATCGGCCTTCATATTTAACGGTTGCAAGGGGGCACAATCTGTGTCGTTATTATGAGCGTTATTATTATTAATATGATGATCGCTGCTCTTAGGCTTAACCATAGACTCCGACATGGCCGTCTTGAGCTTTTCCATTCCATTTTTGGGTAGCACCGAACCAGCGTGTCCCAAGAGTGTCTGGACAACAAAGTCGGAATTGACAATGGTATATCCGGCACGAAGGTTGGCGTGGTCTGTAATCGAAGCCACAAGACGTCTGGCCATGGTGAACTGGGATGTGATGTCACCGGCCCATACTGACATTTTATGGTTATTACTATGAGGCTCGGGTAGTTGTGGCTTTTCAATTGGCAGTTGAGGGTTGGTTGGTTGGGAAATGGGCGACTGGGATATGATTTGTGACGATTTAACTGGTTGAGACTTTATTATATTATGGGTGATGTTGGCGGTAGTAGAAGTAGCAGTAGCGACAGCAGGCGATTTTACGGGTTGTGGTTTGGCCGTTGTGGTTTGTGTGGGTTGAGAAACTGAAGCTGACGTTACTGTGGGGCGTTGTGTTGCGGTTGGGTGCCTTGTAAACGGGCTGGAGGGGTAATGGCGGGCATATGAGGGGGGATTGTGAGTTGTTGCGACGGGGGTATTTAGTGATTTCACGCTCTCCAAAAAATGTGACCGGGGATTGTGCAACGACCGATCCGGGTTTTCGGTGTACTGAGCACGACACTCCGTCGATGATTTCCCTAAATAATACCATATTTGCTCGGGCTTCGATAGATCAACTGGGGTGCTGGAAGAATTGTGCGGAGGCTTTGCAGAAATAAACTCGCCCCATTGATAGACAAACCGCGCATCACCAAAAGGAGTCCCGGGAGATGGGACGGACGACGCCAAATCTTTC